TGTGAGGAGGTATCTTTCGTGCCACTTCTTGGAATTTTAATGACGTCAAATTCCAAGAATTCCCGGGCGATGTTTTTGAAATTCCCTCGACCAATTTTGGAAATATGTTTCAGGAAAACATAAGTTGTGAGTGGGTATCTTTCGTGCCACTTCTTGGAATATTAGTGGCGTCAAGTTGCAGGAATTCTCATGTTCTCTTGATACTCATTCTCTCTTTCTAATATGAAAATTTTTATTCTGTTGGGTTTGTTAGGTAACAATAAATACACAATGATTGTTGAAAAACTTGTTTTTTATTTTCACCACTTTTGATATAGTGCATAACTTAATTAAACCTATTGTTTAATCATTTCATTTCTATCTTGTGGAACGGCTGTGCTCTACACGTGGAATTAATCAGTTAACCTTCACCCCCTGCGAAGTCCGACGCCGTAAAAGATAGACATTCGCAGTAAATTTTGACAGAGTAATCAAAGAAAAGGCAGCTGCAGCACTCTCAATGGTGACATAATTAGTTTTTACGTATCCCTTTAAAAGTGTCTCTCAGTTTCAAGAATGCATCAATTTGATTTGTTAAAACAGTTGCGCATGATCCGCTATTATCTTATAGAAACGTTGCCCTTGCGCAGTTCTAGATCGTAAGAGATAGACATGCGCAGTAAATTTTTACAGAGCAAGTAAAAGAAAAAGCAGTCAAAGCGCCCACAATGATGATGTAATTAGTTTTTATGTATCCCTTAAAAAATGTCCCTTAATAAAGGTTTCACTGTACTATCATTCTAAGAGTACACATACATTTTTCTGCCTTGTTTTCGAGCATGCGTGCAACGTCTCAGCGTAACTCACGAACATGTTTCTGCGTTATAATATAATATCAATTAATTTTCACCGCCACACTTGATATTTGTTTAATCTCTCGGTTAATAATTTAAACGAAACAGTATCGTTGCTTAATACTTCAAGGAAAGGGAAAAATCGACAAAGTATGAACAATGTAATGAAAATATATTTAATGTAGAAGAATTTAACATCTTCTGTCATTCGTATCTCGGTTATCTATTTAAAAACGAAGACAAGTATAAACCATAAATAAAGTATACAAAGATAAATATTTCTTCTTAAACATTTACTACGAATACATTTTTATTTACTATTTGTTTTTGTCAAACGTTTGCAATCAATTGGATTTTTATAAACCAAATAATTTTCTGAAAGTTAATCATTCGATGATTATATCAGCTAATAATTAAATTTTAGCATCGTTCGCAGGCTAGAACAAATGGTAAATAAATATGTATTTACATAATTGTTTAAAACACTTTGTAAACAATATAATTTCTCACTTACAAGACGTGAAAATTGGTATACGTTGATTTTTATGCAATTTTAATTACATAGAACTCGAAGGCCTCGAAGTTACGATTAAAATAACTTTTTATTTAATAATGTGAGTAGCAAAAAATTCAAACTACAAAATTGTATCGTTTTAAACAACAAATTGTTATATTACATAAATTTGTCTTCGACAAATTAATTTATTTTAAAAATGTATAAAAAAGTTATCATTCTTTTTTTAAACAAAATGATCAACAGTTAAAAGCAAATAAATTTTGTGAACATTTATTTACACTGTTAAAACGATTTAAAAAAATACAAATTCCTATTTTGAATTATTTGTACCTAGTAGCTTCTGAGATATTTTAAAAATAATTTCACCTCAGTTATATCTACTTCTTTGAAGTAAAAGATTTACCAATAAAAGAAACTCTATAAATATAGTTCTGCATGAAAATTGCATTAAAATACACGTGTTAAGTAATGTCCATAGCGCATTATCTTAACTATTCTTTCCTGTTTTAATTCATAAAATGCCGTTCTAAATGTAAATGCAAAAAAAAATGTGTACATACTGCAAACATAAATAATTAAGTGTATACGCAAACGTACATGTATTTATTCGCCCATGCATTCATTACAACGATCAAAATCTAAAGAAAACCAATGTAATTTTGTGCTAAAGTAATGTGGTCGTTTTAGAAAAAAGCGACATGACGTGAAAGTGACCTTCAAGTCTAAAACGATAATTCAATCGATATTTTAACCCTTGAAGAACGGAGGTCAATGACACAACGATATTACTGTGTCTCTATGATCCACCGTTCAAAGATTAATTTTAATAAATCGGTGAAAAAGTTTTATTGTCAGTATCGATGCCTTCATCTTCTCCGTTAGAAGTATTATGTTAAAAATACAAGTACGAAAATGAATGTCGCTTTGCCGAACAACGTCAGTTTCTATATGATACTTTTAACATAAGTGTATTAACTACCTGATACAATTTGGACTAGATTCACGATCTTCAAGACGAAGAAACGAAGTATGATGCATCATGTTTTTTGCATCTACGAAGTCATGACCTTTTAACAAACTGGCCACATCGTTTTATTCTTAAGAATTACTCGCAGATCACTGGTATATAAAATATTTTCTTGTACCTCTACATTACACCACACAGTATACCGTGGTAATACGAATACAAATAGATAGTATATAAAATATTTTTCTGTCGTATAAATGTTACAATGCAAATTTAAGACATAGTCTCTTGCAGAGGAAACATATTACAATCACGTAACTGATGGGGACCGAAATGGGATTGGCTCTCCTCACAAAATTTTAAAAATTTCTAAATTCCTAAATTTTCAATACTTCTAAATTCTCAAATTTTCAATACTTCTAAATTCCCAGAGTTTCAAATCTTTTCATTTTCAAACTCTCAGACTTTTAAAAAGCTAAATTTTGTATTCACAAATTTCTAAAACCTCAAGTTTCTAAGTCCTCGAGTTTCCAAATTTCTAAATTCTCAGAGTCAACATTTCTAAAACTTACTTGATAGCAGTGGGACGTAAACACTAACACAACTGTATAACCCACCTTAAAAATTTCAGTTACGCCCATGCATACATGATTTATTAGAAAATAAAAGGCAAAGGATTCGATTGATATTAAGAGAGCTGCAGATTTCGATATGTTTGATCAACGTAAAAAATCTCGAGTATTGCAAGACGAATGGAAGAATAATGTTATTTGAAAAATCTCTAAAAATGAAAGGTGTAGGATATAAAAAGCTATATTCTTTGTAAAACACACAGACTTACACTAATTGTAAGTATCTTCGTTATCATACATTTACTCCCAAACATTATCTTTGAGGTAGCGTTATTCAAAATCGGTGTATTTCCTCTTATTGATCAAATATATCATTCTATATTATGTAATAGGAATTGCAATGAGTAGAATCAGCAATTCATGTAATATGTTTAAAAAATTCTTTTCTAAGAATTTGTCCAATACGTTATAGAAGACTAATTACAAAATGTAATAGAAATAGTTGGCTGCCATGTCGGTTAAAATGTTGAATATTTGTATTAATGTCCATTTTCGACATGGTGGTCAACGTCATACCTATTACGAATATAATTATATCTATCGACCCCTTTTACTCTTTCCATTCCTACTTGTACTCGTATTAATCTATGCTAAAAGTTGTGCAGGCGACGAACTCTCCAACGGACTTCCTATTTTCGAAACAATGAGAATTTATCGATTATATGTTACGTATGAAAATAAAAAATTATTGACTAATATCTCGATTTAATTAGACAGAATAACGTGGACGTCAATGTATACCCAATGGCAGGAATCTGATAGCTACGTGAATATTATGTTACGAAAATAGTTACTGTCGTAATGTGTATTTATAAAGGTACCACGATCGTAAATGGTAAAAATATCAGCGAGTATCATTCTAAAGAAAAAAAGGAACTAAAGCCATAACTTTAAATAATGTAACATTTAATTGCTTATTGATTAACTTAAAATCTATATGTACGAATTGACCTATGTGTAAATACAAGAACGAGCGTTTGAGGCAGTTAAAATATACAATGAATATTCTTTAAATCATGAAGAAAATGGTTATTTAAAATGCTTAATGGTCGATGAAAGAAATGATCGTTATTCTAACTATACATACGTTAAATGCTAAAGGAATATACATATACTTAACATAATATAACGATGTAAATCAATCACGAATGTATACTTCAAACGTAAGAGTAAGAAAAAAGAAACAGATAATAGTAAACGTGTACGCATAAATATAGACAATTTTATCTGCCTCAAAACATAAGTGTAATGATAAAATAGTCTCAAGGACGTTGGAAGTGTACGTAGCCGTAATTATATCTGAAGCACCAAAGACAAATTCGAATTACAATTTCGCAGATGAAATTCTGAATTTAAAAATAGTGTTCTATCGAATGTAACAAGATCGATCCTATGAATCTTGACAAGGTACGGTTTGAGGTGGCAACGGCGGTGGTAACGGTGCGTTCTCTTCATGAATCATCATGAGTTTACCGTACTTCACCATTCTTCTCCTATGTTTTTGCTGCAAACAAGCAAAAACTAATTGGTGTAATGAAACCGTTATTGAACGCTAGTTTCTCCCAACTGTTAAAAAAACATTCAACTGAAATACGTATAATACCGAAACACTTATGTTTTGTTATAGTAAAATTATTCTTTCGTCATAGTACAATTCTCATATCATTTTAGAGGTATATCTCGAAGAAAAGTATCACGACATTTGTATGTCCTTATTCGTGTTGTTTTACGTAACAAGTACCACTCGGGTATGAAACTCTGAGACTACTGTACCATTTGAAACTTACAGTAAACTTTATTTTAAACGTGTTAAACTTTATTTTACCTGCGAAATAGTCCCCGCCGTCCAGCTTCCGTTGCTGCTTCCACTGTCGCTGCCGCTGGATGTGATTCCATCTTCGAGAACAAGTTTCGTTTCGAATCCCTCAACCTCCAGGTCTAAATAAAGACGACCCAGTTGGTCGTTCACTAGGAGGGGTTGATTGAAATTTTTTAAGGCGTCTAAATCGGCTTGAAGTACTTCGTTCAAAGTCTTTGGGTGTATTTGATACTCGTAGATCAATTCTGGAGTTAATTGGACACCTTCGAGCCATGGCGGTTCTTTTCGTCGCTTACCATAATGCTGCTTCGCGTTGTCCTAGAGTAAATGTCCACCGGTTAGAATTAGTTTCCCTACTTAATGGCTGAAAGAGACTGCGGATAGATTTCGTGCTGTTCGATTCATCGGTAACTTATGACATTTAACAAAATCATAATATTTATTAAACGAACGAAATTGAAGTAAAAATAAAAGTGAAGGAGTAAAATAACTGTAATATAATCTTTCGAGCTGGAATTTGAATTATTGTATGAGGTATTGTATTGTGCTCTTGTTACTTCAAGAATTAAACTCATAACCAAGATTCGTATTCTATCCGACAGCCAACAAATCTGTACATAGTTCTTTATCCATGTTGTATAAAATTACAATATACACTTGCCTCCGGTATATATTCCGCCGTTTTCTGATCCGGATTGCAGCTACTGTCGCTGCTCTTGTACAGAAAACTGCTGTAAAAGCTTGACGAACTTGAATCGTCTACATTATAATCGCTTTGCCTGTGGACCGTCTGATTTTTTGGCGTCGATGCGTCCACCAAGCTAGAGCAACCTCCATCGTTGCTTATGCAGGAGGAAAACAATCCACCAGACGATAATACCTAACAAATATAAATATATATAGTACCCTTAGTACCCAAACAGTTGGACATAATTAATATACGAGTTCAACCGAATTGATCATTTACTTTTTCAGAAGATTCAAACATCTCCATGGTGCTACCCGGTTCTGCTTTGATACTGGTGGCTTGACTCGCAGGCCGTTTCCTGTCAGAGCACTTCTTAACCGTACATTGGTTGTCTTCTCGATTGACCGTTGTCTGCTCAGGAATTAAAAAGGGTCTGTACATCATCCCTGCCGGTGGAACACCTACTACTGGTGGGTAAATGACACCAGCCATCGTTGTCGTGACGTACGAAAGTGGTACAAACACTGGAAAATAAATTCGTTAAAAAACTCTTCTTCACACACTTGTTTCGTATGTAATAGAAATAGGAATAAATTCTAATAGGTAGAATTAGCAATCAGAGAAAACATACTGTAAGGATTTGGTTGCGACGATTGCATTGATTGTTGCGGACTTTGTTTCTCCTGTTGAGACGATAAAGTCGTTGGGTCACTATGTTGCGGAACAGGGACGTAATAGACTGGTATCATCTGAGGCAATATTGGTATTCTCGGTATTGCTTCTGAATTAACACTAAAACAGGCAGGATCGTTTTATCACCGGTATTCTAGAGACATGTTTCCGTTTCATGATAGGAAACTCACTTTTGTGATACATTTTGTGGTTGAGCAAGCGGTGGATGTGGTACAGCAACCGATAAAGGCTGCCACAAATTAATATTAGCACCCTTCTGAAGTACAGTTGATTGATCGACGCTCATGCTTGTAACTGTTGTGGTGACATTGGTAGGAAATTGGCCCACGGTGCTCGTTTTTGAAATCTCGTCATGCTTCGAAACCTGATACAATTAAATTGTTAAGGTCATTAATGCAATCGAATACGATACGATCAAACCTTTAGTATGACTTACTTTGAAACTATCTCCCTCCCAGCTATGGCTTCCGGTTCTCTTGATACCGTGGCCTTGGTTGACGAAGTGAGAATTCGTGTCCACCATTTTCTCGGCGGTCTTGATCCGTGAATCCTTGAGCTTGTCATTGTTCTTAATGCTGGAACGCAATTCGCGATGCTTCTGCATCATCAACTTTTCCATATCCTCGTTGTGACGATTGAGCAACGATTCCGTCAACGTTGGAGGTTTGAAGCTTTCCGTGCTGGTTGTATTTGAAGTGTTGCCTCCGCTCGCGGAACTCGTTTGATTATTCGAACCGCTACTCAAGTTTTCAGCGCTTCCGCTACCACTCGCACCGCTTCCGTTTATGGGTGACATGCATTTTCTCACTGATACAACAATGTCACGTTAAAATCATCGATATTGCAAAATACAAATGTTATTTACACGAAAGCAAGTGATTAATAAATTCCATTTTTTGCCGCGTTAACTAACCGACGCATTATTTTAAAACTTGACTAAAAGTGTTAAAATATGGAGCTAATAATTTAAAAATTGATATTGATTTGTGTACAACAACTGAATAAATCTGTCTCGATAACATTTTGATAATTATGTTTTGTCTGTCACTTATACATTGTATAAGTGATTTATAGGTCTTACCTGCAGAACTCGGACTCGTTTTTCCACCTTCGTCGTTGCTGGAATTAATATTCTCCTCGTCGCTGCCGTACATCGTGGCAACCGGAGGTTTACTCTTAAAGAACCTCTCAATATTTTCGTTGTAGTTGAGCTGATTGTAACTTGGTGGTGTCTCGGTGGACGATTTACTGTCGAAGTACTCGTGATGGGGCGAAATCTCACCGAGCATCACGCTGTCGTGCTCCTGTAACAAGGGATTGCGTGATCCCTTCACAAGTATATTGTAGCGGCTTAGAAAGATTTGTCACTTGGTTTCGTCACTGACAATAGTTTTTGCAAATTTGCGTTGCGTTATGCTTGCGTCGAGCTTTCGATATTTTGTTAAACGTTTCGCGCAGACGGTGGCTGTTAAAACTGTGCAAGGGAATGCTCTCTGCGCCCTAATGTAAGTCCTTCTGCAATCTTGCGACCGTAATGCTATATTTACACCAAATAAGCGACCAATCGATCGATTAATACTTCTGCACAGTAGCGTTACTTCAGCCGATTACTACTACATACCGTCAACTTTCCTCCATTTTACCGTCGTCTCCCTTTGCCACCCTTTTAGTTTGTTATATTATGTGACTGAAGAATATCGTCAATTTTTTTTAAATTTCTGTCATGTTCCAAGAAATGTTCTCAAATTACTACTCGAAATTCTTGAAACATATAAATATACTACCCCCTCTTCTTATACCTTGTTAGTTTCAAAACCTTGTAAGTAGAAAGATACACTGGAACCCTATTCACGATTATTGCACTACAATAAATTATAGATGCACTTGAAGTGATGTATGTACAAACTAGAATCTAACTACGGACTAATAAATATTAAGTTGTGTCAGAAATTTCACCCTAGTGAATAATACTCTAATACAGGAAAAAGTGATGTTCAGAGAAGAAGTTCAACGTCAATACCTTCGAGGAGATAGAAGAAAACGATTATCCAAGAGTTGTAAAAGAATGCATTTAATGGAAAACACGAAAAGTGATTCGAAGATAAGAAAAACATTGGACAGAGTTACACTGTAGTTCGATGAAGAAAACTGGAAGAGTAACGTTTGACACACTTTTTCGAAAGCCAACCATCATACTGATATTGCAACAGTTGCGTGAAAAAATCGTTTTAAAGGGAAATTCTCAAGGAAAGGGAGAACTGTTTCACTTTTAACAAGAAGACAAATGTAGCATCACAAGACCTTTGAGATCAGCGAATACAGTAACGTATTTATTTGTGTCTAGTGAATACTTTACCTATGTCTGTTTTTTTGGAAAACAGAAGCGATATAAACTTGCAGTCGAGATTGTTTTAGAAAATCAAGTAAGATTGGACCACATAGTTACGAGTAGTAATAATGAATAAAAAAAAAGTAAATAGACTTACCAACAATGTGCCTACAAGGTTTCGAAATTGACGCTATCCTTCACAGGACTTACACAATTTTCACTTTGCCCTCCGTCCGTGTCTATGTACAAAACAACTTGATAGGTTTGTTTGTCATTGAGCCTTTAAGTCCTTACTTACTTAGACTAGCTACGATAAATGTTATAGTAGCTGACGTGCACGAATACCCTAATTAATGAAATGTGACTTTACTGTTACTTTTAGGTTAATCATCCGATTAGACGTGACACCAGGCTAGAAAAGGTTTAATCAGTTGGTGTGTTCCTTACTCACCTTGCACCGTAGTTTCAAAGTGTTTAAAAAATTAAATTCTAGATATATCGTTCGGAAGCAATTAGAACTTCATTGTTTACAATTTTACCAATGAAACGAAAAAGATATATTATTGAATATATATTATTTAATTCGATAAATAATTCTTATTTTAATTCGTTATATGATCCGAATTTCTGATTGCTTCGTGAAAAGAAACATCGACGTAGAACTTGTCCTTATTAACCCTTCACCTAATTGTTTGTACTCTACTTACGTCATATTTTTCGAACCAAGGGCGGAAAAAAGAAATTTTGCGAATTAAACTGTTTTAAGTAAAAATTGTACAAACTATGTTACAACCCTTTAGGAACAGTCTTGTGAACAATTTCTTTTTTCCTTTGATTCTGCCGGTAATGGCATAACATATTTGGTACAATACAAAAATTTCGGTCGAAAGAAAATATGGGAAATTAATCAAATGATGCGAACACTCGTACCACGCACTTATGTACTACGTAATTATCTTCAGATATGATTAGAAATTCAGAATTAAATATAAGACCATCTGTTGCAAATATGTAAACAGTTCTATAAAATACAATTCACTGCCTATTGCTTTTTCCAATAGAAACTTAAATATGAAAACAACGAACATAAGTCGGGGTACAATTGTGTTTATCAGACTTGAACAAAATAAATGAAAAGAAAAGAAAAGACAAATTGATGAAATTTACGCGATGAAGAAAATAAAATACTGTACCAAAATACGTTGCATAGTGACACCAAAGACGTGTTTTAGATAATATCTAAGATATACACCTTCCATAATAAATTATCATAAGCGGAACGCAGGTAAATACGGTACTGTAAATATACTTGTAGCATACCACCACAGCGCATCATAGCGTACTACTAGCACAATAGATAACTGTCGGCGATACTAAAACGAGGCTAATAGTCACCGAAAAACTCCTGTCGTCAGTAGCGAGAGCATCTTTGCCGAGACCGGGTGTCCTCGTTTCTTGCAGTAGGTTTTCCATGAAGGACGCGAGGTCCTTGCACCTCTTTGACACATCAAGCTCGGTAATGTCTGACTTTCTTTGGATGTTCTGCGCAGACGTACGATAGAACAAAAGAGAAACAAAATTGGGGATTGGACAGAATTCTTTTGTTAGGGTTAGATGTTTCATGATTAACGTTTTACTGTTTGTATGTCTCTTTAGCCTTCTTATAATTTCGTTTGTTTCGGTGTCCTATTGAAACTGAATTCATCCTATAATAAGCACACGTAGTTTGCCCCACGATATTTGTTCACTGATCTTTGTTCGTGACCTTAACACGTTCGCGACGACCACTACGTTCGAGGAAAGACCCGTCGCAAACGTGTTAAAATGATTAAAGATAAGTGTTACTCCTAACTGAAAAGAATACTGGGAAAACGTGTATATCTATGTGGTAGAATTTCTATGTGTTTCTATCGGAAGACGTGCATAGTAAGGTACAGGAGAATCATTTCCCTTAATAAAATTTACAGAAGCTATAAAAATAAATGTTTCCATAAAAGTTTAGTTTCCGTAATATTGTACAACAGAACAGTTTTTCTCCTGTATCCATCGTCTCTAAATTCTCTTGCCGTCTTCAAAATCGGTGAAGCTAAACTGGCTAACTGCACATTTTCAGTGTTTACCTTACTCAAACAATGTTTAATTCCTTCTTGTACACAAATTGTGCTAACTATACCGCTGGTTCCGTATGAAGGGAAGACATACCTCGTCGAGAAGTGTACGTATCTCTCCTTGTATGATTTTGGCCTCTTTGAGCACCTCCTCGCTAATGTTAGCGAACTGGCCACGTTCGTTAGCGCGTTGCACGCGAAAGATATCAGGATTCGCTGGACCTTTCAGTACTCTGTGCTGACCTACGACAAACTCTAGTTTTTTCGTCCAGGGATTGATAAAGGATGACCATTCTGTCTCAAGGACGACGTAGCTTCCGTTCTGCACTCCGAACCTGTACGGTTTCGATCTGAACGAGGCACCTTCGAGCTTGATTACCTGTTCAACGATATAAATGTATATACACGATTAATCAGAGGTATAAGCATTGTACGTCGTTCGACGTTTTGATTGTCGGGACTCGCTTGCTCGCACTTTATTTTGCTTTATCATTCTCAAGCGTATACTCGATCAAAACCTAAAGAATTTGGTTCTTTTTCTGAGGCGCATGCTCACAGTCTCATAGATGTCTTTGATGAAAGGCAGATCCTCGGGATGGTAGAAGTCAAATAATGAACGACCAACCATATCCTGCGGTAGATAGCCAAAGTATTGGACTACGTCAGGGTCAACATGGGATAAATGGCACGTCGCGGTGTGGCGGGTCGTGAATACCGAAGATATGATTGTTTCTTCTGGCGCTGCGGATAATGATAATAGAACGTTACAATCACCCTATTTTCTACGAGCTACATCCTTCGCAATGAAATTTTTATAACATGGTACGCGATACAAAAGCGAGCAATTAATAGATGAACCTGTTTGAAATTTTTTGATAGTTTTATTAAATTCGAACAGACTCCTCTAGACATGCACAATTCAGCTTTGACATGGCACTGTAATTGTCAGAGATTATGCAAAAGGCAATCTGTTTTCAACAAAAGCGTTAATACCAAGGCAAACAATTGATAAACTAACAAAGCAAAGCTTAACTCATATCATTGTTGTTATCTTTTTGATGACTTCATATTTCGTATAATCTATTTCAATTACAATTGTATTTTAGAGCTTTAATTTACTTTGCAAGATTATAGTAGTTATTAAATCTTATCGACTTCAGTGATTTTTAAATACACCGAACACTTTTCTGCGTATCAAAATTGACCTCAATTTTCGAGATATTAAAGTACTTTTTAACGCTGCGTAAATTACTTCGAAGTCATCGAAATTAATAACGTGTGCTTTAACATAAACAATTACAAAAATGAGTAGTCTCTAAATTAGTACATATTTAACAGAGTAGATAACAATAATGACATAAAAAGTTAAACCGTCAACAATAAAAATATTAGAAATTCGACAAGTTTCGTGAAACAGATAAGTTAGCGTACTCTTCGAACTGACATGGACAAAAACTATTTAACAGCGTTCTAATTCTATTTAGAACACGGAACAAGCTATGTTATGGTGTCATTACATACGTATACGCAACTATAATAGTTGTGAGACACCCTGTATAGTGCGCATGCTGCTGCAACATGCAACTTCATTTCGTAGTATATGTAACAAGCAAAGCATTTAATAGTAAAGCTTTCATGATGTAAAATGATGAATGGATGGTTAGTATTTAAACTGAATAATCGAAACAGTGGTCTCCAAACAGAACAAGAAAACGAAAAAAACTGGCCGGATGACAAGAAAACGAATAAATGAATAGACGAGAAAGATGATATCAAGTCAGGATTCTCTTAGTAAACATTTTTAATTTAATTAAAAAGTTACCTCCTTAAGGCATGTCGCCGTGGAAACCACCGAGTCATATAGTATCGTCGAGGAGATTGGACTAATAAAACGACTCGATTACTTTAATCGACACAACGAATCTGTTAACAATGATTTTCAAACTTGAAAGAAGAAGGAAATTGACCGAATCATTTTGTCAGTCGACTCTCCTCGAAGATCTTCGATCGTACTACCTTTGTATGCAGAATGAACAGGTTGGGCAGTAACCACCAGGAACATTGCTTTGTGTTGTTGTTCAGTCACACGATCTTGAAAATCTCTAAATGACAGTGTCAAATGGAACGGTAGGTACAAGTTCGATCTTGCTTCTGAGTGTTGATCGTTCATTTCATGAACAACCGTTGATTTTGTGTATTTTCGTAATCCGCAAAATAAACTTGCTCTTCTGCCGTTAATACCTGACGAAGAAATTGTCACTGATGATCTCGAAAGGAACCCTATATCAGTACGATATTTCGTTGAATTTAGCAAACTTTTCACTTTAACGAGCGTTTAAAATGGCGTCTCTTATAATAGTTCATTCAAACCTGAATGTATTTACACTGAGACTCGAAAGGTTTGATATTTATAAATATGGAGGTTGCAAATTTTCAGAGTTAAAAGTTATAGGTGTCCATATTTATAAACATGGAGGTTGCAAATTTTCAGAGAAAAAATGTTATAGGTGTCCAAATGTATAGACTTGCAAATTTACAAATTTGGTAATTTGTAGAATTAAGAAAATTTGAAGTTTTCATTTATTTGAAAGGTCATTCTAAACGCTCGTGTGGACCCTGGCAAAAAGTAAGAATTACAATTAAAGGATGTTGAGCGATACCTTTCGGTCTGTCTTCTTGAGGAGAAACCATTCCACTTGTGATTTGATCAGCCAGTGTGGCTTTATCCTTAGGGTGTACATAATCGATGAAAGAGCGACCAATCCAGGCATCCTTGGGGTATCCTAGAGCTGAGCATATGGAGGGAGTCGTGTACAACACGAGGCCGTCGTGCATTGAGATCACCGCACAAAAGCTCTCCTATAGATACAATTTAAACGTGTTAGACCTTCTATACGGTACATATGTTAAGTTTGTTTATAAAATTCTTTATTGGCACGTAGATGATACTGAATATACAGCCATCAAGATCAGTATTGCGAAAATAGCTCGATGACTTGAATTATTATGTAAGTTCATAAAGAGAACTAGTCATTACGTCCGTTTTCGTTTTACTCGACCATACATTTCGTTTTGAACATTACCATGAGAGTTACAAATTTTGAGATTTATCGTAAAACATGTGGGTATATCTTCGTGGTAGGTTCATGAGTTTCAATTAATTATACACGGAGAAAAGAGTTATACTTGTTCTTATCTCGATCGAAACTTTTATGTAACTATAAACATTTAATATTCGGTAATGGTAAATTAAGTGGGGATGTTCGGGTAATTGAATGTGACAGACACACTGTCGAGTCAAATCGATTGTAATCGATGCGATTGGTATACATTTCAATTTCAAATTAAGTAATGAATAAAATTTCCAATTTATTCAGTTATTTCCAAATTTTTAAATTTAATAATTTCATGTTTACAGCTTGCAAATTTTCAAATGGTAGAAGTATTTAAAAATATTAATTTAGAATTACCAATTGTACAAAATATCACATTTACAAATTTACTTTACCAAATTAACCTGAATGTAGAATATCAAATAACCGTACATCCCTAACAAAAAGAGATAATCTCTTATTCCATAGTTACGGTGCACTGATTACTTCATGCAGTGCATATTATCAAGCACCTCTCTGATTAGTAAACCTTCACCCTGATACCAAGACATCTCTACTAAAATTACTTGTTAATACAAGTACAAAGAGAATTAAAGAAAAGATGTTCACTAGCACCTCGTTTAGCTAGCAAAGTCAATAAATCTCTTTTCTCCATGACTGCTGAAACCCCGTAACAATAGTTCTACCGTGTTACACCATCGTACAGAAAGCCATACCGAATTGCGGTAGTCGAAAAAATTCTGTAAAATGTAGCAATATGGGAAGCAGCCGAATTAAATAGCAGAATGCTACTTCGAGTATGCCCAATACTGGACCTCCCTAAATGAAGAGGTCTCCTTCGATCGATCACGATCATGCGAGGCTCGATTGACATTATCTGTTTCTACGTGTCCTTGTACCACAGTTACCAATTAAGAAAATTCTATTCCCCTATTGTTTTGTAATGAATACTAACATTAGCTTGAGAGATGGAATCATCCAGAGGAATCGTACGGGAAGCAAATCCTGCTTCTACATCTGCGATGGTATCGCCGTTGTGCTCGCCAGGATCCGTTGCATCCACCAATTCTACAGTAGCTATTTCTTCTTGTATAAACCCAACAAAAATTCTCGTCGTTATATTGTGTTCTTCTTGGACACTGGGTCTGCTGATGGGAACCGAATGAGCATTCATACCCAAATAGCGCGGTCACGTTTTAGGAAACATTTCATGGACATCTGGTCTTCGGGATATAATGGGAAATACGTCTCAAGTATTTAAATATTATTGGATCGTTCTAAGAAATTTGGATGTCCGAAATTGTCGGAAACAAATCTCTTTCGATCCACTACACGTTTATTACACGTGTAAATCATTTTAATTTCTAAACAATTTGTGATATCGGATTATGACTTGATGTAATTTGTTACAACGGAGAGTTTAATTTATTACGGGAGAGTACAGTTTAATTTTATACTCTAATTCATTTTTACATACTAAAATTTACACTTTTTTACGTCATTTTATGTACATTATTGGCCGATATAAGGCTTGAATGCATCTTTCTAGGTATCTCCAAAATTGAAATTTTACTGGAAGCGTCTTTAAGTTTAATTTAGGTTTATTTGAACATTGAATTTTCTGGACATACGCAGAATAAAAAGTTTCAAGGAATTATTATAAATACTTGTAGGCGTATATCTTTTGGTAGGCTACGTTAAAATATGGTTGATATAACAAAGGTTAATGGATCTATCTTGTAGAAGTCTGAATATAGATTTCCTAGAAGCAAACTTGATCTCCGAACCAAATGAGAGAAAGGATACGTCTAAGAAATGTATAATACGTAACACGCTATGTGGGTAATGGATTGCTGAAGGATTAGGAGTTGTTTCCTTAGTCCAACAAGACGACAATATCGTGAGAACATTTTGAGTTACTTACGGAGTAATGAATTACTAGCTCAAGGTTATCCTTCCAATAAAAAGTATGAAAAGAAGGAAAAGAAACATCTAAACCTAGAGCTCTATTATTCCATAACACGTAGCTGGTACCAAGGCAATTTTTACTTCTCTACTCTCGTTTTCGCTTCGATCGATTTATTCGCAATATCGTTTAGAACGTTGGATAAACGTAAGGGTAGAAACTTTGCATCGCTTCACGTGAAATCACATGCTATCACTTTGTACATGACAGCAATGTAATATCGATAAAAGATTTTAAATATTATTTAGACCTGTGGTGACCATTTTGCGCACCTTCAGGGCGGCCATTTTGAACACCTCATTGGGTGGCCATTTTAAGCGCCACATGTGCAGTATAAAACTGAAATTGAAATTTAATGTTTTGAACATTATTACAATTTTGAAATCAAATGAAACAGAATATATCTCTATAAAATTTTATTAATTTAGTACATAATGATCTTCTTTCATTGTTCACTACGAGTAATTGACAAAAATATTTAACAATTTCGTTTTCAGACTTTTTTGCTTCTTTCAAGAAGTACATACTTACATTTAAAATTTATCTGTTATTCTCATATATTCTGATGTTCGGCTCATGTTTTATGAATAACACGCGAAACAATTTGATAACATGTGATTTCACGATACGTAATATCAACGTGTTTCTGTCTCAACGATACACGGATGAGTTACTCAAAATAGCGAATTTTCCAGTCAAAGATACAACAACCCATCGTGGTTACACTTGTAAACTAGAAAATGAGGATCGTTGTTGCATAACGAATCTATTCTCGCGCATAAACATGCCCTATTGTAGAATACGTTATTGACTCGTAACGGGTAAATCAGGTCCAAGCTCGTAACAACCGGCGAAAAAAGCCTACGTGAGAATTGGTTGCTTGAAATGGATTATTAAAAATTATGTAAATAATTATGTAAATGGCAGGTGCTTACACGGCGTTATATAAATTACGATTCAGTTCGAGCGTTGCCATAGTAAAACCAAGCTTGAGCTTGAATTATTTGTTCTGTTGGGATACGTACTGTACATAGGGATTACATAAAATCCATAGTAAGAGAAATCGGTTTTAACATTAGAATATTTTAAGCACGTTATTTTCTGTGACAGCTGTCCTACACAAAAGGAACTACATATCACACATATGTATACACATAGGTACACATATGTACACGTATGTGCATCGTCGAGCACCGTAGGCTTCCCTAGGGATGTATAGGGTAAAGAGGTCCTAACTCATTTTAACCCCTCTTAATTTTCAAATTCATCAATTTCCTAATTTAGAAACTTTCTAAATTTGAAAATTTTAAAGATAAGAAATTTTTAAAAATGATGACAAAAATGTATTAGCAAGATCATCGAAAATCATTCGTAACACGATACCGACGTTTTAAACAATTAAAAATCAATTAGGTATTATTTATTTTAGAAATAATAAAAGTTATAATAAGCTATCGTTAAAAATAAACGTCACCACGAACAGTTGTAAGCTTATCTCTGTATGCAGATAGGTATAGTAAAAATAGCAAGATTGTTACAGAATTTCTATATCTTTGTAATTGTGGTAATTAAATGTTACACAACTCTAATACGCGCAAACCTGATTTATGGGTACGATATTCGTTCGGCATACTTGCGAAACTTATCGGTTAAACCAAACATCTATAATTAGCTGACCGTTTAAATGCTAACTATGAACTTGAATCTGCTATTGCAATAAATCCTTGGAAGCCTCATTACGGTAAATGTTACATTGAAACAGAATTCTATGAATAGTCTTTTATGCGCATATGATTCGAAGCGTGAAATAATTAAATTAAAGAGTTTAAAAAAAATTAAAAAGTTTGCAATTTTTTCTAATTCTGAAATTTGGGAATTTGAAGATTTGGGAATTTGAAGATTGAGGAATTTGATGAGTTGGGAATTTGAAGATAAAATACAAGAATTTGGAAATGTAAAGATTTGGGAATGTGGGAACTTAAGAGAGTGAAGATTTGGAAATCTGGAGATTTAGGGGTGTAAAGACTTTTTAACATAAAGATTTTGAAATGTGGAGATATGAGAATTTGAAAATTTAAGAATGAGGGGACTTCAAAATAAAGTTTGAAAGTTTAGTAATTTTGAAGTGTGTAAATTTATGAAGTTGCACAGTTAAAATTTCCAAAATGAAAGACAATGATCCTCTCTCCCTACACTTGTTCCCAACAAAAGGAAACCTACGTTGCACCCAAAAATACGCGGTATAATCATACAACCTCCAACTGTAAGTCATAAAATTATATACATCACCAATTTCAACGACAGGAACGTTATGAACGTTCTTTCATTGAAGCTAATAATAAATACACATTACGCAAGCAACAATTGGTGATGTAAGTTGAGCAGAGGGGTTGCTAAGATGAGGGATAATCGACGTTTCACCAGAATTTTGTTAGAAACGCGTAGTTTCTCATTGCTTTGTTCATACTAAACAGAGCCGAGATTAATTGCCAGGGTAACAATAGAAGTCATTACTCCAATATCTTATTTAAATACCGTTGATCTACGAATATCAGCAAAGATATTGTGCAATCTGTGTTCCACCGAATTTCGACAGTCGGGATTATTCGCAGATCCTGTTTTGATCATAACAATAACTACATACGAATTATTTTTAGCTTCGAGCAAAGAAATGATTTGATCAAAGGTTTAAAACGGACTAAGGGAACCATCAGGCTGGGTGGGAATAGTGATGGTTCAAAGCCTTTGATTACATAGTAGGCGGAACCTAACTGAAGGAGAGAGTGCACGAAACCAAATCACGTTACAAAAAATTCTCAATTTTTTTTCTAATTTGACGAGGACGGTCACGTAATTTCATATCAACAAAATTTCTGTACCATCGATAAAACTTGCTGATTGCATTTCGCTCTAAACGCGGAGCAAGTAGTACGAGCAAACGATCGATCGGACGGGAAACAAACTCGATATTTATCTTTACCTGTTATACTGATTATTATACTAATAATCACGTAGATTATTATACTGATTAGCGATCGACTGATTAGCAATTCTTTCGATCAAATTTTATTGTCCAGTTAACGTGCACTACTCCCCGTCTATCGTAGATCACAACCAACCTGGTTTCTTTTCAACTACAGCTTTCGTTGGCACGGCGACATTATAAGACATAATTTCCGCCGGTGTGCCGGCACTTTTCAGGGTAATATCTGCCTCATTATTTACGGCCAAACTTGCCTTCGACTTCTTCTTCTTGTGCTCTTTATCCTTTCTTTTGCTGATTGGCTGCGGTAGGGCTTCATTGCTACGTTCATATAGGCATCGCATATATTTACAACATGTAACGATACTTCTGAACCTTATTCTAACGGACAGATCCAATAATTAGTACAGATTACGGGTTGTGATTTTGAAGGTTGTTTAAGGATGTTTGTTTAACAAAAAAGATTAAATGAAACGATAAGCCACGTGGACTTTTTAATGAGTGTCAAGCGACGATTTCATTATTCCATATTATGAATTGATAATTTAGAGAACATAATTAAGGCAACGAGTTCAAGTTAAAAAATTTCTCAAGTTTTCCAAATTTTTCAAATTTCCTGATTTCTAAATTATCAGATTTTGAAATTTTTACAAACTCAAATTTCTTAATTACAAAGTTCCTGAATTTCCACGTTTATAAATTTTAAATCCCCAATACTCTTTTCCAAATTTTCAAGTTGCCAAATCCTCAAAGTTTCAATCTTCAAAAAACATTTTCTAATTGGTCTAAGATTTCTAGATTCGAATGTACCGAAAATATTTCAATTTGTGACACATTCTCGAATAAAATCTGTCGGGTTGTGCACCATTTTTAAGGAAACCTTAATCTCATGAGATATTTGCAGGGTAAATATTTCCAGTGTCACTACTGTCTCTTTTTTATAACATTTCACTGGTTTTCACATAATATTTTTTAGGTTCTATGTTCTTCTTTTCTGCAAAATCTTATCGAGGTGTTCTTAAATAACCTTTAACAGAACATGTCAATTTATGGCGATAATGCGATGCCGGAAGTGCCGATATACCTTGCACACTTTTGACGAGTAAGATAACTAAGTATATTCTAAAAATAAGTATACTTTTTGCTGAGTTAGCAACCAGAAATGCATGCGAACATGAGCTGCAGGTGAATTTGTAATTCTCACACTAGGTCATAAAGAAAGTGGTATTTCTGTGTAGATAAAATTACAATAAAATATTTATAATTATCGTTAATTGACATTTGTACCGATTTTAGTCGGAACAGATCTAGAATTACATCAGAGAACTTTCTCCAGGAAAATCATTGGCGATAAAAAAAGACAATACGTAACAAATGCTTGGGGTCTAGTCGTGATTGTGTTAGTTGCATAATGCAGAGAAAGTACATTTCTCTAAGGATAAACCGTGCAAGCTTTCTCCTAGATAAGGCCAATCACTTCTGGTATACATTACCGGGTTCAGATTCAAAGTTTGAAACTATCAATTGTGTAACTCAAACCAGTTCAGTATGTCTTCTATACCTTGCAATTGAAAAGTAAAGATGTTGAAAGGAGTAACAATTATTCAAAATACAATTGAAATAAAAGTATCAGTTTTGTTAACGAGAGCTTTCTGTTTGTCACTTCACACATGTGATTTTAAATGTCTCCTGGTTTTTCGATTATATTACATTTGTCGTGCCAGTTGCCAAGAATCTTTGCGATATTCATTCTATGAATCAGTCTTCCTTTCTATCAATATCTACGTACTGGGGGACTTTTATTCGCGTTACGATTTGTCCTCATTGTTTACTCGATGAAAAGCCTGTCGTGGAACAACAGTCTGTCTTAATCAAAAATAACAACTCTGTTTTTTATTTTCATCGCTACGTCCATCGATGAAAAGACGACTTTAGAAGCCAGGTTCGAATATTAGTAATTAAACGGTATTGGAATTTATAGCTAACGCGTTTAACATCTTTAGAAACAAAAGAATCTCATAATGAGATTTATAAATCTATCTACCAATATAGAGTTTTATTCGCGAATTTAGACATGTATTTCAATTTTCCGAATTCACCGCGCCACCTGCGCGCGCAGATGCGCATAGCTATAAACCAATTACGATACAACGCGCCAATTGTACTCTATATTAAAATAATGAACGTAAATAAATTTCTTTTAAATTTATTATGAATGCTTTATTAGTTCTTTGTTCTTCTAAATTTCGACTGAGTTTTGAATAAAATGATGGTTATGGATTTTACGAGTTATAATTAGATCGTCACAGCCTATGATTATGCAACAATTCGCGGAGATATGCCACGTAGGCGACGACGCGCGTACCGACATCGCGGGCACGTGGCACGACACATGCATCAATGTTTACAGCTGCGAGTAGTGTAGTCCGTGTGTGCTTTCTCGTAACTGAATGTAATCGTTCGTACGTGATAAACGTATGTATGTACGCGAACGCGACGCTAAAAATCCACGTTGGCTAACCCGTGTACGTACAGTGTCACCTTCGCAAACGTGATAATTACGGAACGGACGAGTTGCTCGCAAAGACCTGTAACCGGAAATAAAAAGCGACATATCTCATTGTATTCCACGATGTGGATGTTTGATCCAAAAGAGAGAGAAAATAAAGAGAAAATTGATAACCCATTCGTTCCTGAATATTCATAGATTCCTAGATGGCTACTTCATAGATTCCGAAATTTTTATAATCAAGACCTTACATTCCTAAGTCCTTAAATCGTACGTTCTAAAATCTTTAGATCACAAAATCTCTGGATGCTTAGATTTGAGGTTTCTAAATGTCTAGATGGTGGATTTCTAAGTCCTTAGAGCGTAATCCTCCAATCTTAAGATCATCAAAACCCTAGATACCTAAATCTTTAAACCACAAATCTCAAGATCCTCAAATATGCAAATTCCCAATTCCTAAATCTAAGAATTCCTAGATTTCCAAGTTCCTAGACCCCCATATTCCTAAACTGGTAATTCCTAATCTACAATTACAATACATGTATGCCTAATGCCTCACATCCATATATCATCAAATCCCTATCTCACTAGGAGATAAATCCATAGATCGCTGAATCTCTAAGACTTACTTAAATCTCTAAACGTAAAACGTACATGTACTCATGTCAGAATTAACAAAAATGTTACATACATTTTGTTGTAGATATTAATATTTATGTAAGAAGGTATAGTAGTAATAAATAGTCACTGTCAAATTATAATACAAAGTAAGACATTCTGGCAAAGTATCTTTCACATGTGGTAGTCAACTCATGTTAGCATGCAATCTCCATTCAGCTGTACTGATAACAACAATTGAACATAGAGTATGAAGCTATCTTAAACCGCTATCGGGTTTTGCAGTAATATAAATAGACCTTTGTTAGCCGTTGATTAATTGTGTTTTTTTATTTACAGTTTTAAATTCCAGGCTATTTTTAAGACGTAGAGGAACGTGGTGAAGCCACGTGTTGCCTACACATTGAAATTCGTATGCGCTACCGAGTACTGCATAAATGCAGTTTGTCAATAAATATTAAAAGTATCGATAATGTATTTTAGATCGATCGACTCCATTACGCGAGTACACGTCTACGATGACAACGTGTTATGATACCTTTTCGGGATTGTTATTAAAATGATTGTCGACTAGAAAAGTAATTTAAACAGTACATTACCTGGATTCAAATGTCGAAGGGCGCCTACCGCAATAACCGCTACTTTCGGAGCGGTTGCTGTTTCTCGAAATTGAACTGCCACTGCTGAAACATACGTTCATCGAACATCGTTAATCATCGGTTAAATATACATAGTCAAATCAGTTAAATATAGTCAGATGAAAAATCCAAGATAAACGATAAAAAAAACTTAATCACTTTACACTGAATTCTTTTTTTACTTTTATGGAATATTTGCATATTGCAAATGTACATTTGCAATAACTTGATAACATTGTACACAACATTATTTGCTACAAAAATAAAATATATGTTTCTTGTTTTGCAGTTATAATAATTTCGTCATCGCCTTGTGATATTCATATTAATGTCTGACAATTGACTGCTTAAACTACTGACGATCCACACCTTGTCTGACCTTGGTGCTCTAATACTACTGAATGAATGAGACCAATCGTATTTTCGTTTCTTTGTTCTCAGCTAATTAGTATTAATTACCAACGATTGTCCTGTGTCGAGGTTTATATGAATGATTGTTTGAAGAGGACACATATTTTTAGACTTAGTAACGGAAATAAAATGGTCACTTCCTGCAAAGTACAGAGTTACATTTCCTTGAAAATACTGCTACGCTTTTCCTCTGATATTAATTTGAGGCTTTTCAATTTCTACATTTCTAAATTTGTAAAACTATAAATTTGAGATCTGAAAATTCGAGGTGTCTAAATTTAAATGATTGTAACCTCGAAATCCCAAAATGTGAAAGTTGAAGATATAAATTTAATTTGAAATTTTTATACGTGAAAATATAAAATATCTACTCTGAAAAATTCAAACCTAAATTATAAACCGAAAAAATATAAAATAACTGTAAAACATAAACCTAAATATCTGAGGATTGTAAACTTTGTATACTTGAAATTTCTGAAAGACTGAAATATTAAATAGAAACCATTAGGAATAATGACAAACAAGATTCACACGTTCGCGTGGTTAATGTCGTGAGAACGCATCTGAGGACGTACCGTGTAAACAAATTGAAGAACTTGATGGTTAAATGCAAAATCGTATGCATGTTCGTACACACTGTAGAAACAACAGATCCTTCGAGTTTGTACGCTTCACTGGCGCACGGTAGAGTCTAGAAGCAATCGGCAAAGGTGCATTTCTCGAACGACAGGTATGGCGTCCTCGGCCTATTGGCCGATTAAACCGCCGTCGAGAAAGTTACGCGAACTGCTGACACAAAATCTCCTAAAACCATGCAGTGGAAAAGAGGAGAAAAAAAGGATCGATCACATGTTCGACAAACGTGACCACCAGGAGATAGGCCCTTACGACATAGTCTTTCTGGCCTTTCACTGTCCTCATTATTTCCGAGGGAACGAGCACGGGGCCCCTGCATTTATTGCACCTCGTTTAGTAGCAAAAATTATTGCATAAAGCCTGTTTCACGTTCGTAGCCCCGTGACTATAAACGTCGAACGGGACCGTGGTCCGACTATCGATTCTGTTCAGGGCTTTGCCTGGAATTATGCCAAGGAAATGGTCCATTAACGAATCAAAAAATGATTGATGCTTTGGATACGATCGTAAAGATGGACGGTTAGGGAGACCGTAAATAATAGCAGCAATACGTAACGAAGGTGGCTGTGAGAACTTTCGAATTATTCTATCTTTGAGGAATCTTTAGGAATTTAGATTATTTTTCAAATTTTTCACTTTGAAAATAGCAAATTTTCGAGTTTAGGAATTTAAAAGTTAACCGAGTATTTGGATACTAGGTGGAGTTTTGCAAGTTCGCCCGAACCCTCCCGATCTTCCCTGAGTTCGCTCGAATATAATCCACCCGCAAAAATTTAAAGTTTCTAAGATTCCAAATTTGAAAATTTAAAGTTCCTAAAATTGTTGATTAAAACTTGTGAATTTGCCAAGCTGAAAATATCAAAATATTAATATATATTAATGGACGAGATATTAAGTTCGTGATGCCCCCCGCTACATTCAACGCATAAAACTTTCCGCTTAATATCTTACATAACATTATATTAACGCGATACAAAATTTTTATTTTTAACGAATCTATTATGTTACATTTGAGATGACAATTTCAATATTTAAAATTTCTATAATGATTACAGACGTAATGTTTATTGAAATTTTAATATAAACTTGTTATTCTCGTAAAACTAAACATTTTGATTTCTATTATGTGTGTAAAGATGATATAATGAGTTCAATCCAATTCAATTATGCAACTAATACGATGAAGAGAAAAAAGCACGTTTGATCAACGTGGTATAACGCATATTTCCCAGTAAATCACGTTTTGGTATTAGTGGATCTCCTAACGTGCAACACGTGAGATTTAAGGGACCATTCATAATCACGGATATTCAACGTGCCTGTTACGATGTTTTCTATAAATAGTATTCACGTCAATAAAAATCATGACAGATTCCGTACAGATAATGTAAAAATCATGACAGATAATGTAAATACAGAAAAGGTACTACATTGCAAGGTATCCTTAGATTTCTAACTGCAATGCTAGTAAATATTATAAATTTTTATTATTAGAAATATGTACTAGTGAAACGGCCCGTGCTATGCACGGGAAATTAATCAGTGAAAATTTAAATTTGACTTTGCCCACCATCCACTCCAAGCACCCCTTGCGCAGTCCTAAACCATAACAGATAGATATGTGCAGTACATTTTTTACAAAGATCTCTACAAAGAAAGGTCAAATGAACCACTCTTAATGATGACGTAATTAGTTTTTAAATTGTAGCAATTTTGATTTGTTCGAAAATTTGTTGCCCAGGATCCGCGAGTATCTCATAAAAACCTTGACCCCCTGCGCAGTCCTAAACCGTAAGAAATAGACATGCGCAGTAAATTTTTACAAAGAAAGTAATCAAAGAAAAAGTAGTCGAAGCGCCCACAATGATGACGTAATTAGTTTGTATGTATCCCTTAAATAGTGTCCCTTAATAAGGGTTTTACTGTACTATTATTGTAAGAGTACACATATAATATTTTTCTGCCTTGTTTTCGAGCATGCTTACAACGTCTTAGGGTTATAATATGATTATTAGAAAACATTAGTTCTGTATCTATCATGAACTCTATTTAGGTATTTAGTAAATAATTAATAATGCAATATATTTAAGAAGGTACTTCATCTTTTATTTTAGATCAATCTAAAGGATCTTTAGATCACTCAAGTAATTTGGTTACCTCGAGGAGGCTATATACACCACGATAATTATATTTGTTAAATAACATTCTTTTAAGATTATTAACCGAATAATACATTTGTAAAGAACAAATTGATACTGGAAGTAGTGTTGTGTAAATTCTCTGACGTATTTAAAATTATTTTAACCCCATCAACGTTGTTACACTTTAAGAACATCTGTTACGTCTGCTACGTTCGACGTTTCATACGTCAGCAGTTATAAACAAATCTTTAGAATTTATATACCGATGTATAATTAATACTACGCTTTCATCAAGTGAATTCAACCAAATCGCACACAATGTCCCTCTGTAATTATAGACAATTGACTTTCTTCGTTGCATCACAAAAATTAGTTATTAACGTAGAACCTCGAAATACATTCTGCACAAGGAACTACAGCTACATGAAAATTTCAAGGCGAATTTTAATAAAAATTGCATAATGCAGAAAAAATGATAGATATAAAAACTTTCATTGAATGACTTGACGCAATGATGATAAGGACGAGGACGCGATACACCTACGGGCAAATGGCGTATATTTGCCAGCGCTGATAAATAGCCAATCTTTTTAATTTAAACATTAGCGTATTCCATAATTTCTGTATTTTTAAACCACTGAACTTGACAATTTGTAAGTTTTAAACAGATATATATTTTTTTATATTCGAAAATTTGTGGATTTGTAAATTTTTACATTTTTTAATTTTTGAATCGCTGAAGTTTTAAATTTTCAAATTTTCAAATTGACAAACTTTCAAATTGACATATTTTCAAATTGACAAACTTTCAAATTGACAAACTTTCAAATTGAAAAATTTTCAAATTGACAAATTACCAAATTACCAAATTACCAAATTACCAAATTCTCAAATTTCCAAATTACTAAATTACTAAATTACTAAATTACCAAATTACCCAATCACAATTCTCCAAATCTCGAAATGTTCAAATATCCAAATCTCCAAATTTCTAATTCTCTAAATTCCCAAATTCCCAAATTCCCAAATTCTCAAATTCCCAAAATCCCAAATTCCAAAATCCCAAATTCCAAAATCCCAAATTCCAAAATCCCAAATTCCAAAATCTCAAATTCCAAAATCCCAAAAATTCCCAAATCCCAAATTGCCATCTCCCAAAATCCGCATCTCCCAAAATCCTCATCTCTTTAAATCCCCATCTCCCTAAATACCTATTTTCGAAAATCCCCATCTCCTTAAATCCCCAAATCCCAAATTGCCATCTCCCAAAATCCGCATCTCCCAAAATCCCCATCTCTCTAAATCCCCATCTCCCTAAATCCCTATTTTCGTAAATCCCCATCTCCTTAAATCCCCAAATCCCAAATTGCCATCTCCCAAAATCCGCATCTCCCAAAATCCCCATCTCTCTAAATCCCCATCTCCCTAAATCCCTATTTTCGTAAATCCCCATCTCCTTAAATCCCCAAATTCCTAAATTCCCAAATTCCCAAATTCTCTAATTCTAAATTTTCAAATCCCCAAATCTTCAACTTCCCAACCCCCACTATCTCACCTTCTCACACCCCACAAATTCTCAAAATACCTACACTCCCAAATTCCCAAATTTCCAACCTCATACCTTCAAACCTAAATAACGTCGAAATTTCGCGAATTCGTAAGTTTCCAGTAAGTTAAGAAACCACCATGACTAATCACTTTCAACAAAGCCGTAATCGGTGATCACGCAAACGCCTTGCATTCGACCGACCTCTTTTCATCGGGGTTTCACAACCCGCGCCTATACCTAGGTGTATCAAATGCGAACGTGGAAATGCAACCGAACGGCATACTTCGTTGAGAAACTAGTTAGCCTTAACCGTAGTGTTCGAGTTTCTATCTTTCTTGTTTGCCGTACCTTTCGTTCTACCTCTCACCTACATCATCCGACAAAGCGTGTCAATGCCAAGTATCCTGCACGAATGCACCTCCTAACGGATGCTGGATGTCCTGTCGCATTGCGAGCATCAAATTTATTTAATACATCCATCCATCATTGGGATGTGCATCATCATTCAGATGGATGAGTCAAGAGTTGTTCATTCAATTATAGGTGTAGTTTGAAAATGGAGCCTTGGCTCTAATATTAAACAATAATTAACACAATAATTAATTAATTAACTCGAAATTTCAAATTACTTGGAAAATTACTCGTTATATACGAAGCAGTGTCAGTATTCAATAGTTGAAATTTTATAAGTTATTTATTGACTACTTGTTTTAAAAAAAGAATTTAGATTATTTTGGTATAAAAATTTAAATAAGATTTGAATAATTTTTTAGTTACATATGTGGTGTATGAACGATTCGTTATGATCTAATGTAAACGTTCGTTAAACGTTTGCGTATCGACGCTGCGCGAGGACACGTAATTGAACAAGAACAGACGAATGCTTCTTAACTTGCATTTTCTTTCATTATCTGTTGTGCTTCAGTATCGTTGACAGTACTTGCATCGCCTGATGACTTTTACCTTCCGTAAACGAGGTATCGTATACGCGCTAAATTACGTAAACATTGGTGAAGCCATTCGTAATGTTATTAGTAGAGCAACGGTATAGATAGAACCTTAAAACGGTAAGAAATTTCCAAATTTCTAAATTTTCAAGTATTTGAAATCCTAATGTTCTGAAATCTCAAAATTCTGAAATTCAAGATTTCGATATTCCAAAATTTTGAAATTCCAAGTTCTAAGTTTCAAGATTCCAAAATACCAAAATCTCGAATTCCCAATTTTCTAGATTTTCGATTCTAAAAATTTCAAATTTTGCAAATTTTAAGAGTCCAAAATCCAAAGTTCGAAAATTCTAATGTCTCAAAATGAAAAAATTCTAAAATTGCAAATTCGCAAAATTCCACTTTCAAAAACAGAAATTTTTCACAAAGCATTAACTTAAAATATTCTAAAATGCAAGAAGTATAAATAAAAAGTATACTCTATTACTACAAAACTTTTCGTATTTTAATATTTAATACGATGCATACTTTGAAAACCTCTGTTAATACAGATGACGCACCAGATGTGTCCTATGATTTTTACTTAATAAATCGATGACGCACATATATTGCTCAAAGAGGTTGAAATATAATTATCGAAGAATACAATAACATTGTATTAGCATTAGAATCAATACTTGTTTGAAGTTAAAATTAAAAATAAATAACAAATGTGCGTAATTAGGAAATATGTTAGGAAATATGCATATGTAACTTGAACGATACCTACTTATAAAAATTTCGATAAAATGTCGAAATAGGGTGTATCTATCGATCAAGATTAATGCTAGATTACGGTCGTAACTTGAAATCAGTGGCGCTATTTTCAAACTGATTCGCAGAAATTCAGTATATTCTAAATGACACGCGATAATTAATCGAAATAAATTTAATACACACCTTCTTCGCGATTGGCTATTGCTGCAGCTATTAGAACATCCAGAATCTGACACCTTGGCATTCTTAGTGGATACTTCCTCCATCGTTCTTTTCCGGATTTAACGTTTTAAACGATATCCGTCAGATCACAACACTGCTGTTAAATTAAATGAACTCGAAGTTCGCGCATTATTTTTATATTTCGTCGCTAATTAAAATGATTGTAATCGATAGAGAAGTCGAAAATAGATTGTCTGTATCAACACCAAGCAAAGGTACAAAAGTTTATTTTATTAAATATATCGAATTCACCATTAATGATCAAGTTAATAAGTGGCGCACCACCAGAACAATTATAAGAAATTAGTAAATTGAACATAAAATTTATTTTCACTAAATTTCCTGGTAGTACCACCACGGTTACAAACACGGTTCGTTTCAAACGACGATATCTATGAAGACTAAAACCGCACCGTACATCGTATATCTTTCACGCAGAGCGACTGTTCCGCATCACGCAGCACGTTCGGTAACACGTGAGTTGTTGCCCCCTCTATCGCGTTGTTAACCTATATCGATGTAAAACGTGCCCCACTTAAACCTCTTGAACGATGAATGCGATTAAAATAGTCTCCTCCACGTAACTTTACACTTCTGTTCCAGCGCAGAAATCTACTGGCGCGAAAATTCTATTTTGTCGACGATCGTGACATCTACTGGTTACTTTTTCGGTACATCTACTTGAAATATGAAAGTGATATAAGTTAGTGATGGGCAGACCAAATGCTCGTCAGAGAACGCACGGGCACTGATGGGCATAGTGCAATAAAAAAATTTTTAACGAAATAATTGGTTATTACTTTTTTATTTTTAACGAAATATCAAATAACGAAACTTAAAAATGTTTGATATGGCAAAAATTTTTAAATTTGATCGTTTGAAAATTTCGAAATAATTTTTTGAACATTTTAGACGATAAACGTGGTGATATAACGCATGTCTATACAATATGACACTATAATGCGTGGCTAAATAACAAATGGCTGTACAATGCGTGATAATACAATAAACGACAGCAAATTAATAGGATTAATTAGGCTGACAGAAACTAATTATTTAAAATTAATAACAGGATGAAATACATTGTACATTAACATTCAAAAATAGCTTAGGAATAATTATAACATGATGATATTATTTTTATATTAAAAAACTTTTTATTGCACACTGTATCAAAATATGAAAAATTTCAAAAAGTAATAAATTACAAACATCATGTATCTCATGAAAAAGAATTAAATGTATAAATATGTATTTGCAAATACAATCATTTTTTATTTATGATAGTTATAGTCTAATAATAAAAAAGAGAAACTATATAAAATTATAATTTATTGTTTGTATTTTATATATACAATATTGGTAGTATCTTACTCTGCTATAATATCACAGTCATCAGGTACACATCTTTGAATCCATGAGGTATCCTGAAAAGTGAAAAGAAAAAGCATGTCAAGAGAGTAAATTATACACGTGTTAATCAGAGGACATTCTGTTTAGTGTAACAAAAAAAATAAGTGGAAATCAGTGTGAGGTTTTGAATACTTAATGTGTATTTAATATCATCAAACAAGTCAGTTACAGTCTCCTAAAACATCATTGCGTATGGTCATTGAGTAAAACAGTCTAACACATGTACAAAAGTGTCCATCATAAAACGTTCATGTTGTGCGTCAATAACTGGTACTTGACGAATTGTAATTATAGACGTATTAATTGTCTAAGAAAACGTATTTCGCTTAACGAAATTCAAATATCAATTTTCTATATTAATTATAGAAAATAATATGTCGATATATTTTATTCAAATATATCTGTTTGCATGGACATATGCAATGTTAAAATATTTCCAAAACAAGATGTATCCGAATCTCATCGAAAATCTGAACAATTACCTTGTTTTACTCGTGTCTATAATTATTTATTTATATGAAATTTATTCATATTTGCATGAAACATAACGACCACATAACTTAATATAATGAAAGTTTTATTAATTATTTATACCTGCTCAATATTAATAAAATAAAACTTACTATACACAGTCTATCACAGAACATGATAATTGGTTTTTCTAACACCAAATAAAAAATTGATGAATTAATAAATTTTATTATATTCGTCTTTATAAAAATATAACTTTTCTTAATATTTTTAATATATGAAACCATATTCTCGAAGTACTAAAAGAAAATATACCGTTTTGCAGAATATATCTTGTTTTGGAATTTCAGTTCTGTAAAATTTACTATTATTACGAGTTATTACCATAAAAATATTTCTTGGAACACATACAAGAAATAAATTAATTTACGTTTTCTTTCATATAGAATATAGCTAATAAAAGAATAGTACAGAACTATCGAATATAGATTATAAACAAAAAATTTGTTTTACTAACTATAAAGCACAGGTTTCGAAGCCTGTTGTAAAGCCTGCGCGAATAGTTAAAATTGATTATAATATAATTCTTGTTTTACAAATAAGAATATAAAATATTGCAAAATAATCTTACTTGAATTCCATCTTTCCTCAAATATTTTCACTTCTCTCAATTGTTAAGCTACGAAGAATTTATTTTTTTTTTCGTAAAAATTTGTCTAAAAAAAACTTTCACTTCAACACGATTTTGATACAAAAGTACATGTATAGAGAAATACTCTTACCTTTGACTAATACCTGAAGTACATTACCATAAATAAATGCTTCAAGTATATTGCACCGTACAACTTCCTTACGTTAAAGGAAGAAGCTCGAAATTTAACTAGTTTTGTGTGTTTTACATATTCATAAATTGAATATTTAAGATCACTTTTCGCACAGGCCTCTTAAAATAATAAAACCAAGAAGTCAGGTGTGTGTGTAACGACATGTAAGGATAAAGTAAAGTATCGTTAAAGTTTCAGTAACGTTGAAATCGCGAACGTAAGCGATAGTTAAAAGTAGGTAGTTGGAGTAGTTTCCTTGGATGCGGGCCCGACGTGGTCAAGTGAGTCTTAAAATTCGTCTCTTTTATTGCGTGCGTCCAGCTTGTGTATACCAGTCAGTCTGTGAAGACAAATAGAAAAATTACATTTTCTCCTGTTTTCTAAGTAAAGTAATCGTCAGTTACACGTCAGGGTGTTAATATTTATATTCCTCTCTTTTTCCCTCCTTTCTTTTTTTCTCTTTGCCATGTGCTCAGCGATTTACTTACGAGGTATACGAAAAAAAGATTAATTTTCGTCTTCGTCCATTCGTAACCGTTTTCTGCGATCTTCACCAACGTTGCGCTCTTCTGCTTCTAGTACTTTCAGTCGAGATCCACAAATTTCTTGCCCGTGTAGAACCTATGAAACGCGTTACCAGTTTCTAACTTAATTATCTTCAATAATTTTACTCCTTTAATTGATTAATCTTAATAGAAGAATACAACTCAAAAACAAAATAAATTAAATTTGATAATATAATGCACCAAAACATACCTCAATTGCTTCATTTGCACTTTCTACACTAGCATACTTTGCATAACCACAATTTTTCCCTGGAAGCATATAAACATCTATCAGGTTTCCAAATCTGCAGAAAGCATCCTTCATGGCGTATATAGGGGGCACAGGCGGTCCACATACGATGAAACACCTTTTAGCAACTTCTGCATCTATACTAGCCATTGGTTGTACAGGTGGTAACTTAACACACATTGAATGTTCTAAACCTAATTATGTAAAAATGCAATTATATAAAAGAACTATTTATTACATATTGTGTAGATAAAACAATTCCTTACTTGGTGCAGTTAATCCTGCTGCTTGAATTAAAGAAGTAGCTTGAGCAATTGTTTCAGCCAAATGCGCTAGATCCGTTCTAGCACTAGCAATTCCACCTGTAGAACTACCAGCTTTTATCGCATTTTTTGGTGGAACATTTGATAAATCTGGCTTAACTATCATTCTATGTCCAGGAGGATATTCGAAGCCATGAAATTTTTCTCTTGCATATGCTGCTGCACTGGGATTAGAATATACTACAACAGCTTGACCTCGTGGCATCCTGTATCTTACATCATTTTTTAAGTGACAATAATCCAAACCAGGTACGATATCAAACAATTTCCATAATTGATCTTGATTTAATGCTGGATGTGCAATTACTTGTAAATGCGTATAACCTTCAGAATTAGGATAATTTGTAGCAATTTCTAAACTAATACTGCTTTTCCCAAAATTTGATGAACTATAACCTCCGCTTGTACCATCGTAATGGGAGGATAATCCATTATTGTATTTTACATCAATATGTTCTGGTTTAGGCTTTTTTGGTTCAGCAAATACAGCTTTATATTTTCTATCACATTCTTCAAATGCTCTTGCTGCACTAGATACTTTTTTAAATTTAACATAACCAAAACCTTTCGATTCATTTGTATTTCTGTCCTTAACTACAGTTGCATATTCAATAGGTCCAAATTTTGAAAATTCTTGCTGGAGTTCATTGTCAGTCATTGACTTAGGTAACACACAAAAAAGACGAACCCATCTTTCTTCTTCATTTGTTTCCCTTACAGAACCTTGGTCACGGCTGAAATAAATAATAAACTTATATACTTGTAGCATATAATGATAACTGAACTTGGTGAATCATATTTTTATACAATATTTAAAATCTTACTTCGAAGCAATCATTACTTTAATAGGTCTTCCTACGGATCCTAACATTTTTCCATTCATTTCTTCAAGAGCAAAAGCTGCTTCTGATGTTTTTGAAAATTTAATGTACGTAACACCTGCATAAACAACAAATATTACTCTTTGAATATTTAATTTACACGTATGATGATTAATTGTTATTAGTACAAACAAGTGTGGGCAAACTTCTTACGATAGAAAAAATATTCAAAAATAAAATAAAAGCTTATCGATTTGTTCTGTAGTTGAGAGAAATTACCTTTATTTTCACCTGTACTCCGATCTTTAACTACCCAGATATCTTCAATTTTTCCAAATTTTTCAAACGCCTTCCTGAGATCATCTTCTTCCAAACTTTTGTGACATATAACAAATAAACGTGAATTCGGTGGATCATCATTTTTAGATCGTAAATCCGTTTGCGAATAATACGAATCCCTTTCCCTGTGATCGGCCATTTTGTAAATGAACGCTGCAGACTATATCGCCCGTCTACGGTCAACGAAGCTTATGCGCTTCAGGGACGGCTTAATAGGGGTTTTATGATATCAATTTTCCAATGCTATTTTTTGCATCGAATAACTAAAAATATAAAAAGTTTAAAATTTCAATTCTTTCTTAATATTAAAAAGAAATTCACTTATCTAACAGTACAAAAAAGAAATCTGCTCTTAAAATATTAATATCATTGATTTGTAAATAACATTGTATCATAATAAAATGATATTTAAAAATTCAAATGTTTGACGGTGTTATTGCTATTTATATCCGAATATATAGATTGTGTTATGCTGGAGGACATCGCGGATAAAATAAAATGAAAATATTGCATTAGTTCAATATTTACACAATGTACACACATATATTTCAAAATTATTATAGAAATACCATAAGAATATTATTGTAAAAAATTATATGGGGAAGTCACAAATGCATGACTTTGCCTATTAAAACTTCAAAACTTCTTTACAATTTTCTCGAAAAAGTGTTTTTTAACTGACTAAGGTAGAACCTTTGGAACTATATGTACTTCTAACATTTCGATTGGCAATTAATTAATTAGTAATTTTTAAATTAACATGATTTAAAAATGCTGAAGATTGTTTGTACACGTTTTTTAATTTAAATGTTCGTCTACAGGCTACTGGATTCAATGGAAACAAATCTATAATTATTTGTAAAAATATTGTGACATACATGTAATATATGTATAAGTATATTATTTCAATAAAATTGTAAATTTTCTTTCGTTATTTTTTTTTGGCATATACAAGTTAGGGGAGTTATCCAAATTATGATCAAATTGAATACGTGACCTATATAAAACACTATGGCAGCCGGTTAAAGTATAAATAGTGAACTTTAAAAATATGAAAGTACTAAAATTTTATTTTTTAAGAAATTAAATTCGCAAATTTATTATTTCTTACATATTAGTTTACTTTTGTAAAAATCAGGTAATATTTTTGCTATGAAATTCTGTGATATAACCTCTATGAATCAATATGTAAATGAGTCATTACTATTTTATTAAGTGTATTTTATAAATGTTAATGCTAGAAATCATATGTATTAATTTTATTGTAAAATATATTAATCTTTTTCTCTATTTTAGCATACAATCATCATGTTTGATCAAAGTATTATTGGAATATGTTTCTTTATCTGCTTAGCAATAGTTTTTAACTTCTCTTTGCACCGTATAGAGGAGGGTCATGTTGGCGTTTATTTTAGGGTATGTGGTCATTAACGAATATAAAATGACATAATCTGTAAAAATGTATACATATTAATTATATAACATAGGGTGGCGCATTGCTGCCTCAAGTAAGTAATCCAGGATTTCATATGATGATACCATTATTGACAACTTACCGTTCAGTTCAAGTTACTTTACAAACAGACGAAGTAAAGAATGTACCATGTGGTACTAGTGGTGGTGTAATGATTTATTTTGATCGTATTGAAGTTGTAAATGTATTAGATGCAAATAGTGGTAAGAATCTTATCACCTATTTATATAAATGACTAAGTTATGTTATTGTGTTTCAATAAATTGTTTGTGTTTATATAGTTTATAATATGGTGAGGAACTTCACAGCAGATTATGATCAAACATTAATATTTAACAAAATCCATCACGAGTTAAATCAATTTTGTTCTGTACATACACTGCATGAAGTTTATATAGACTTATTTGATCAGATAGATGAAAACTTAAAAACTGCTTTACAAAAAGATTTGAATGATTTAGCACCTGGTTTAAGTATACATGCAGTGAGAGTTACCAAGCCAAAAATTCCAGAAACTATTAGAAAAAATTATGAATTAATGTAAGTAAAAATGGTATTAACATGTAAATTACTGCATAGATAGTTTGATTAAATAGTATAATTTATATTTAGCTATGATAATAAGTTTAGTATCAAGACTGATGTTTGCATGTGATTATAGGGAAGCAGAGAAAACAAAATTATTAATATCTACACAACATCAAAAAGTAGTAGAAAAGGATGCAGAAACTGATAGAAAAAAAGCTGTTATTGAAGCAGAAAAAGAGGCACAAGTCGCAAAGATTCAATACAGTCAGAAAATTATGGAAAAAGAATCTTTACAACGAATGGCATCTATTGAAGATGAAATGCATTTGGCAAGAGAAAAGAGTCATTCTGATGCTGAGTATTATCAAATGAAAATGCAGGCAGAAGCTAACAAATTGCTTCTCACTAAGGAATATTTAGAACTTAAAAAATATGAAGCACTTGCACGTAATACAAAAATTTATTATGGTCAAGATATACCAAAAATGTTTATGTATGGGGGTTGCTCAAATGATCCTAGCATAGGTTCCACTGTAGATGTGCAAGAGTCTGTAGTGCAATGAATATGTAAACTCTTTTTGTCTCTAATACAATGGTCATTTTAGCTAATTCCAGTATATAATAGATATTATTACATTGGTTGTAAAAGCGTTAAAAATTAATAATTGTATTTAGATACTTATTAACAGTTTATTTTAAAGAATATGTATATCCATAACTGTCCTCGTGTCAAGTCTCGTTAAAGTTCTCGATTTTTCTAATAAAGCTATTACTTGTATGTATATTAATACTATTGTATTGAGATTCTACATTACATCTACATATATAATTTACATTAATTCTCGGACGATAGATATCGTGTCAATTATAATCCGATCTAATTAGGATCTAAATATAAAACTGTTCAATAACATGTCGACTAATATAATGATAAACCTACAAGTTTACAAAAAAAGCGTTTTATTAATTGGAAAATAAAATGTTTGAAAATGAAAATACTATAAGGCATAAAATTATATTTAAATTATAGTTTTCACAGTGGATGATGTTCCGAGAATTAATTGTAATGCAACATTATAAATATTGTATAGTTTCTTAAACAATTAATAAATTGACTTTGTATATCGTATACATTAAATGTATAATAAGTCAAAATAAGTCATTTGATCTGGTTTTATTTAATTTAAAAAAATAGCATTATTATTCAATTAAATTCAAATTTCTACTTCAATTTAAAAAAATTGAAAATTATAGATGTAACTATTTTTCCTAGGGAAACTATTATGTTCGTTTATTTTTTTACTATGGTTTAAATATAGTGCGCGCGCATCTGTATACGCCTACCGCATGACAGTCTGTCAAAAGTAGTGTTTAGAAGTATTAATATTCACGGTTTATTAAATTAAATTTATTTATAAATTAATACTTGATATCCATTATAGTGAATATTAGAAATGACTGCGGTAAGTTGAAAAATTATTATGTTCACTTGTGCAATAGTAGCACCACATGATATGAGGTTATGTATAACTAATTTAAATGCTCTAAGGATACAATTTTTATACAAGTAAATCTATATTTTATTAAAAAGGAGAACAAAGTATAACAATTTAATACAAGTATGTTATTTATAAGAATCATTTGTTCTTTATTATTTCAGGAATTAAAGAAGTTTCTTTATGGACTTCTAAGTAGTGTAGAGGGACTCCACAGTATACTGATAACAGATAGGGATGGAGTACCTGTTATATCTGTAGCTGATGAAAAAGCACCAGAATTAGCTATGAGAGCAAGTTTCTTATCTACATTTGGAATGGCTACAGATCAAGGAAGTAAATTAGGTCTTGGAAAAAATAAAACTATTATCTGCATGTATAGTAGTTATCAGGTAATAAAATATTATACATTGATTATACAGTATATTATATACTGTACAATACAGTATATTATTATTTTTCATGCATACAGAAACAAGATAATAGGATACTTTTGTATAGACATATGTATTCAATTTGGTTTGCAGGTGGTTCAAATGAACAAATTGCCATTAGTTATTAGTTTTATTGCTAGTCATAATTGTAATACTGGGCACATTTTATCTCTAGAAGGTAAAATCGATCCAATCCTGAGCAATTTAAAAAATGCAGTAGTGGAAGCCTGATGGTTACCTGTCGTACATTATGGGTGATAAATACCAAAAGGTTTACAGTTAAATTTGGTGAACACTTATAATGAACACAGATATAAATAATCCTAGGGGTTTTATTACATTATTGTTTGTCTAGTTTACAAAAAATTCAAATTATAATTTTTTATATTTATATTTCCTTTCATTATTGTTTTTATATATTTTAAATATTAGAAGGGAAGAAAGTATCTCAAACATTTTATAATATAATAATGTGAAATGAGAAGAAAAGATTTTAAAGACTATACAAATTTTTGTAATGAATAGAAAGCAATTTTTATTATACAACATCAAAGAAGCATTTCAATATTTTGCAATATGTAGTTTATGTTAAAAGTGGTAAAAGTAGAGTATAAATATTTAAAGAAACGTTACTAAAATTTTACATGTGTAAATAGTATAAATTTATGTAAAGAATGGGTGATATTAAACTATATATTATATGCGATTATACCAGTAAATATTCTTAAACATACAAAAGTGTATCATTGTCATTACATCATTTCAAGTAAATACACAGTAGTAGGTTGTATAATGAAACTTTAAGTTTTAAACATGCAAACTTGTTAATTATACTTCATACACTAATGGCTTACCCTCTAATCCATTGAGAATGTTTTGTGCTGCAGTAATTGACATATCAATTGTAGTTCTCATGGTAGCAGTGCCCAAGTGTGGTATGATCACTGCAGTGCATTATATATAATATATATAATTAATGTACATACAATTTTGCTAAATATTTCTATGATTATATAATAAAAGAATATTATGTAAAGTTGTAGAATATAATTTCTAATAATAAATTATTAACCAAACTTAAAAATAGTAATTCATTGTTACCTTACACCATTTTGATAAATAAGTTAAGCATACAGAAATCTGATATAAGATTTAAGAGCAAAAAAGTGTATACCTCACTATAAACATGTTTTCCTACTGTATAGATTTACAATTATTACAATTAGTGATACTAACCAGCATTAGGAAGTTTAAGAAGTTCGTGATCAGGAGGCAATGGTTCGGGATCAGTGACATCAAGGCCCGCCGCAAAAATAGTCTTATTACGAAGTGCTTTAATCAATGCTTCCGTATTTACAACTTTTCCACGACCAATATTTACGAATACCGCTGTTTCCTTCATTTTACCGAACGTATCGTCATTAAACATTCCCATGGTTTCATTCGTAAGTGGTGTAGCAACGATTATAAAGTCGCTTTGTCCAAGGAGCTCGTCGAGTGATACAAAATGGGCGCCAAGTTCATCTCCTACGTAAAATTGAAATGAACACAATTTATTGAAACATTTATGGAACTATTAATGTGTTCTACTTTTGCGTACAGTACAGTCTCGTTAAATAACTCTACATGGAGTTGCAGAAACCTATCTTTTTACTTTCCCGCCAAGATTATGTGCATGCGCAGAAATGTAAGTGGCGTGCACACTTCACGAAAATTTCCAAAGTGCAAATTTCTTCAATCGTTCTGGATAGCCTTACTCTAAGAAGTCAAAGCTAAATGGGGAAGTGATACTTAGCGAAACTTTATTGTACTTTAATTATAAGTATGTACTGTATGTACCTGCTTTCTTACGAGAATGACCAGTATAAACAAAACGACTCACGTCGAATCCTTTCAAACGTTTAACAATAGCTTGTCCAATATTGCCTAAACCAACAATACCAACTGTCGATCCTCGTAATTCGTGGCCTATCATCCATTGCAAATTATTCTTCACTTCACCTCTGCATTTACGAAAAATTTATATACATGTATTAAAATGTAAATCGTCGTAAGGTAGTCTTATAGAAATTGTAGAAGTATAGTGTATTCTTGCTATATGATTCTACAACGACTTGTCTTACACGCGCGAGAATACACTATAGTCATTTCTTATAAATAAAAATTGTTTAATGTCTTTATTGAATATTAATGTCATAAAATTTGAAAAAGTAAAAAATGTAAGTTTTTTTGAATTACTGTTCGAGTTTTAAACGTGCTTCATGAGCTCGTCTTGCTGCACTCAATGCCAAGAGTATTGCCATTTCTGCAACTGCAACCGATACGGCTAGAGGTGTATTACCGACTTTAATACCTCTTCTTTTAATTTCAGGAACGTTTAAGTGATCATAACCAGCTGACATTGTTGAAACTACTTTCAGACTGGGTCCTGTTATAAGCGAAAAAATAGTGAGACTACAATTTTCGAAAATGGGTCTCAACCTATAGTTTGCAAAACCTTGATTTGAAGAATCTACTATAGGATTCTATATTTACCTACAGCATTAAGAAATTCATTGTCGACGTGCATGGGTACAGCAATAAATATAGCATCATGTCCTGGAAGAGCTTGTAACACATCTTTGCGGCTACTTGTAAGAGCATGAATGATCGTGACATCACATCTAAATGGAATAGGGCATTAAAATGTATGTTCTGATACAAATATATAGTAGTAATTAAACTTTTAATAATTAAAAATCGTAAACATAAAATCATTAAATGAATGTTAATTTCTACTAAAAAATCATACTCTTATGTTAATATTAATAAAAAATCAAATTTCATTATAATAATATGCTTACTTTGTACGTAATAAATCTATACCGGCAGAAGGCACATCGCCACATGTGACTAATACACGTGGTTTCATTGTAAAGTTTCGGTGTTGTAATAACACCGGCAAGTAATTTCTAAACTTACTTGCGATACTCCATGCATTATATAAGCGCATGATCTGATAATGCGCAGGCGCCATGAAACATAAAGATAACTGATATTACTTTTTTGCAATGTCTAAGCATAGTCTCCATTACGATATAGTAAAATAGTAAGGTTGTACGATTAATAACATTTTAGTCTCGATTATGCGAACTGTAATCCAATCTATAATGTCTAAACAAATAATACTATAGGTAAGATTGAAAATAATACATACTTTTTATATCACTGAGAATAATATACAGAAGCAGGTATCAAAATATAGCACGACCATTCATATGAAACTACTACTTCCTACATCATATGCGTTCCTGTTCGGTAGAGACGCTACTTTCTTCCAATGACAGACAAGTTACCGCATGTCCTGACAATGTCTGCCTTGCTTTTTATAACAATAAGTGTATGAATCCATACTTTATATTCGTAAAACACGTGTTCGTAAATAATTTGTATTGCAAAAAGATTATATCACTATCTCGCTATATATGAATATTTGTTTCATACTTTCTGATATGTGATTACGTATGTACAGCGGCTAACAAAAGTAAGTAAACACTTAGAGCTTGTGTCAAAGCAAATATGTAAGTTCAAAAAACAAATTGTATATCTGCTGAACCTACGTGAAATAATCTATATAATTATGCTGATAAAATGTTCATTAGTGAAGGATTTCCTCATAAAAAATAATAAAGATTCACGGTATGCAACGAATACACGTTCCAAAAGTAAGTAAACACGACCGGCATTGCTCGATACCTTTTTAATGCTTGCAATTTTGCAATTTATTTATAAATGACTCTTATAGATTATTTCATACCGAATCTGAATTCATAAACTGTTTCTTTGTAGTGATTATCGTTTTCAAAAAAATTTGACTTAAAGGAAAATTGTAAATTTTCAACTTTGGAAATGTTTCACAGTCTTATAGTTGCTTCTATTCATTTTATTTTTATACCAAACTATTCTGCAAATTCTTTTGAATAAAATGATATGAATTGTGATAACATTGCAATTATTTAATTATGTTTAAATGCCAATGGAAGTGAAGAAGAAATCCAACACTCGCCGATGTCTACTGATGTTTTTTAATTTATTTCAACGACTAAGAGTTTCAGAAAAATTCTAACCAGATCAAACGAAACAGTAAATATTACAGTTGAAAAAGGTGCACAAGAAAGATAAATCGTGTTATGTTTTGAGTACATGTGTCAAACGTTTTGGAAAATTATTAGCACGAAATCCGAAAAAGGTTCGTACAAAAAAGACAACGGTCAGTGATGAGTATCACTGCTGTTACTATGTGAAGTTGTTACGTTTAGTTATTCTTTAATTATGAATGGCCGATATCCTATTCTTCTTTGCATAACGTGAATATGCAGTTACTGTACATACGTAATCACATATCAGAAAGTATAAAACAAATATTCATATATGACGAGATAGTGATATAATCTTTTTGCAATACAAATTATTTACGAACACGTGTTTTGCGAATATAAAATATGCTGACTCATACACTTATTGTAATGTACATACATATATAATATTCGTAATTAATATTAATTCTTAATTATTGTAAAATGAAATGTTACATTATAGTAAAACTTTTATCGTGTGACAAGCCTGATAGCATGACAGAAACAACTATTATTGTTAACAATAAATTGTATGATATGAATGCAATTACATGTTGATAATTATTTATCATAATTATTGTTATCGTGTGGGATACGCATTTTTAATAGTTACTTATTGTTGGAAATATAGATTAATATAAGAAACAATATATTACGCATTATAGTTAAATAGTTTATATATTTCTAAAATAGTTACATGTGTATTATTAGTAAATTAACTCCAACTCCTTCAGTGATTCTGAAACGCAAAGTATCAGGGAAACACGTGATCGAGTTGTATTATGTTACGTGCTGTGCGCGTAAATATCATTTCCGTTCCTTCACATATACGTAAAATAAAGCGCATGGAACGAGACTGACGTAACACGTATACATATCGTTATTACATTTAACAAAATTCCTAGTTAATATAGCAAAATGTGATGGAAGCTACATTTTAGGTGTTATAGAAGTATATTATTCGTTTGCAATAAATGTACCTTTTAAAATGTTTGTAATAGGAAACTATAATAAATGGAGGTAAAATTATAACTGCATAGTAAGTACTTCCTTATCGACTATCTATGTCATTTTATGAGAACAATGTGTAACACCTCGTCTGTGGTGTAAGCAAGATTTAATGTCTCGCATAGTAGGAAAGCATAATCTATTTTAAACATTCTACAATCTTTAGACTTTGTAACTTCTTTGTCCGCGTTTTTCTTTTCCAACACTCAACCAATTCTCGTCAAATTTTGCATGCACATGCGTACGTACATCCAGATGGACATAGAAAAAAAATTTTAATCGGACTTGCCACGAACGGATAATCACCGAAAAAACTGATCCTAAGAAGTGAGGGTCCGAACACGCATATAAGGAAAATAAAAAAATGAATATTTCGGCACTTTGACGACGTAGTATGGTTCCAGAGGCATTTAGAAACAAATTTCTATTAGGGTTTGATGCGTTTTGATGCCTAATAAAG